CAGAGTTATCGGTGGATTCCGAATGTTATTTTGTTCTATAGGATTAATTCGTAGAAATTAATTCTTTACCGTGCTTCCGTTCTGCGTCAGTTGGTATCAGTAGCGAGGTTTTTTCTGGTTAGATGGCGAAAGGTGCGAAACATAGAGACAAAAAATACGTTGGCGATGACCGCGGGGTTGAAAAACTGCAAAATCTGCGGTTGGTGCGCGAGGGATTTGCCCTTGACGACAATAATAGAAGGACTGAATCTAAAATGATGATTGCCGACGGGGTAGCCCGAGGTGCATATGTTAGACAAAATTATCATGGACCTGTCCAATTTCAATCAAGGTATGACGACTATTCAAAGGGGAGCGGAAACTCTGATTTTGAAGAAAACCCGCCTAGAAGGAGGCAAAAAGATCGTGATAAATATCGGGTAAGAGTTGAAATTCCTTCTTCTAGTGGAAATTTTCTTGAAGTTGATGATTTTATTGATTGGGTATCAGAAGTCGAAAGGAATTTTGAATTGATGGATATTTTGCCGAATAAGATGGTAAAATAGGTGAGGTGTGAGTTAAAGGGTAGTGCAGCCGCATGGTGGGATGGGATATAGTTGATGAAAGCTAGACAAGAAAAAGTGCCAATCCAATCATGGAGGAGGATGAGAAAAATGTTCATGAATCATTTTTTACCCTTAGGTTATGAGCAACGTCTATTTCAACTATATCGTAGTTGTTTGCAAGGGACTAGATCTGTTAACAAGTATACTGCTGAGTTTGTAAGATTAGCAAACTTAAACAATCTGCAAGAATCCGAAAGTACGGAAATTTCAAGGTACTTGAAAGGATTGAATATTTCAATCCGTCTTAGGATGGAGTGGCGCGCATTTGACTCCCTTTAAGAGGCTCAACAGTTAGCATGTAGGGAGGAATATTATCATAAGAGAAATAGTTCTTCTAGAAAAACCGAAGATGTTCCACCCGTTGTCAAAGTTAAGGAGGTACAAGATACTTCGTTCGTTATTGAAGCACCCAGTTTGGTGGAAGATCATGGCGTACGAGTTAACGAAGTTGAAGACGAAATTGTTGATGCAAAAGTTAAAATTAGCGTAGCTATGATTAACGATGACATTAACGAAATCAAGGTGAAAGTCGATGAAGTTGAAGGGGGGGACAACGAGGTTGAAGAGAGCATCAACAAAGTCGAAGATAGCGTCAAAGGGGTAGAAGAGAACGTTAGCAAGGTTGAAGAGGGAGTCGATGAGTTTAAAGAGGGTGTTAAAAACAAATTTGAGGAAGAATTGGAAGTTGTAAAATTTGTTCACGAAGAGGAAGCTGCACGAGAAGAGAAGGGACAAGTGGATTGCGTTGAGGTATGTGATCTAACTGTAGATAGTGTTTGTTGTGAAGTTCTTGTATCGGTGAAATTGGTGGAGCCATTGGGATTTTCGATTAAGAAGCCAAATTTTCTAATTTCTCATTTGGAGGAAGATTTTGTAAGCGAGATTTTTGTGCCGGGAAGATTGATGGAGAACTTGAAGTTGTTTGCAAAGAAATATGCATTGCTATATTTTGATCATTACTCGAGTTCGAGCTCTTTTGAAGAAGAGGAGATTGATAAGGAACGTCAAATTGGAATCGAATTGCAAAATAACTATTTAATTCGCAGAAGAGTTATTATTGGGCATTGGTGGAAATATCGAAAGAAATTATGGAAAAGTAAGGATTTTCGATGAACTCAAATTGTATTTGAGTACGAAACGAACTCTATCTTATGTGAAACGACGCAAGAAAGAAAACTCATGAGCAGCTGAACCTCGCGAGGTGGATCCAGAGCACGAGGAGGAGGTGGCAAGCCAGAGCCTCCACGAATTGGGAGGTTGTTAGCTGTATCATTCTCTCTCCGAGTGGATGACTCAGGAGCATCTTGCAAGCTACGTGATCTGGTATGCTTTCCCACAGACGGCGCCATTATGATGATGCTAAAAATAGATCACCTTAAATAGTTGAGATCGAGGGAGCTGGGAGAGCAAAGTGGATCACTGCTCACGTGCTAGATGGTCCTGAGATACCTGCGAAGAGAGAACACATGAACTAGGACGGGGGTTGATCCGGTGGAAACCCCTCCGACGCTCAAGTCAGATGTGCGGATCGTGCAAATAGTTGAGAGAATACAAATTATCGTATTACTCAAATAATAGGGCGTACCTTTAGTAAATGAATTTTCTCGTTATTTATACCTTGTCGATTGGGTTGTGGCTAATTTGTTGGGTCAAACCTTATTTGACGGTAATTGGGCTTTCGTAATAGTATTCTTCTAGATCGGGCTTGTGGCCCAGTACGTAGAGAAATAGTAGGCTAATTGGGCTGGCCCAATTAGGTATATCAGAAATATAGTTAAGTAACACCCCTATCCAAAAATAATTAGAGAAAACCTTCTTAGTTAATATTCCACCCATGTGATATTTTTATAATTCCAAAACTACCCTTAATTGTCTATTATACTCTATCAAAACCCTATTCTTATTTTTAATTTTTCATCCGCCGTTTTCACTTTCCAGTTTTTCTCTTCTTCTCACTTTTCTCTTCTTCTTTGTTTTCTCTTCTTCTTCTTTGTTTTTTTCCCTCTGTTTTCTCCGGCAATTTTCTCCGCCGTTGTTGCCGCCGCTTCCGGAAGATGTGACGCAGAACGGAAGCACGGTAAAGAACTAATTTCTACGAATTAATCCAATAGAACAAAATAACATTCGGAATCCACCGAAAACTCTGGAATCCACCATAAAATGGAGAAAACTCTAAAGATTTTATTAAAATTCGAAATTCTTTCAAAATAAAGTCCTAAGGCAGCTATTTATGCTAAAAAAACTGAAAGCACTAATTAACTAAGAAAATACTAAAAATTACCAAAAACAACAAAAAAACGAGTTAGAGTCTTATTCTAGTAGAGCTCGTAATTTTGGGAACAACTCAATTTACGGAATCCTAATACGATTTTTCTATGATTTGATATTAGTTTTCTAAAATTTACCTAAAATAGCAAAAACGAACTTTTAGGAGTCTAAACGACGTTGGATTGCTGAAATTTGATGTGATTCATGAGCTTTGCTCATGAGTTTTCTTCCTTGCGTCGTTTCACATAAGATAGAGTTCGTTTCGTACTCAAATACAATTTGAGTTCATCGAAAATCCTTACTTTTCCATAATTTCTTTCGATATTTCCACCGATGCCCAATAATAACTCTTCTGCGAATTAAATAGTTATTTTGCAATTGGATTCCAATTTGACGTTCCTTATCAATCTCCTCTTCTTCAAAAGAGCTCGACCTCGAGCTATGATCAAAATATAGCAATGCATATTTCTTTGCAAACAACTTCAACTTCTCCATCAATCTTCCCGGCACAAAAATCTCGCTTACAAAATCTTCCTCCAAACGAGAAATTAGAAGAATTGGCTTCTTAATCGAAAATCCCAATGACTCCACCAATTTCACCGATACAAGAACTTCACAGCAAACACTATCTACAGTTGGATCACATACCTCAACGCAATCCACTTGTCCCTTCTCTTCTCGTGCAGCTTCCTCTTCGTGAACAAATTTTACAACTTCCAATTCTTCCTCAAATTTGTTTTTAACACCCTCTTTAAACTCATCGACTCCCTCTTCAACCTTGCTAACGTTCTCTTCTACCCCTTTGACTCTATCTTCGACTTTGTTGATGCTCTCTTCAACCTCGTTGACTCCCCCTTCAACTTCATCGACTTTCACCTTGATTTCGTTAATTAATGTCATCGTTAATCATAGCTACGCTAATTTTAACTTTTGCACCAACAATTTCGTCTTCAACTTCGTTAACTCGTACGCCATGATATTCCACCAAACTGGGTGCTTCAATAACGAACGAAGTATCTTGTACCTCCTTAACTTTGACAACGGGTGGAACATCTTCGGTTTTTCTAGAAGAACTATTTCGCTTATGATAATATTCCTCCCTACATGCTAACTCTTGAGCCTCTTCAAGGGAGTCGAATGCGCGCCACTCCATCCTAAGACGGATTGAAATATTCAATCCTTTCAAGTACCTTGAAATTTCCGTACTTTTGGATTCTTGCAGATTGTTTAAGTTTGCTTATCTTACAAACTCAGCAGTATACTGGTTAACAGATCTACTCCCTTCCGAACAACTACGATATAGTTGAAATAGACGTTGCTCATAACCTAAGAGTAAAAAACGATCCATGGGGACGTCGCCCATATAGTTAAAAAAGTTAATAATAATAATAATAATAATAATAATAATAATAATAATAATAATAATAATAATAATAATAATAATAATAATAATAATAATAATAATAATAATAATAATAATAATAATAATAATAATAATAATAATAATAATAATAATAATAATAATAATAATAATAATAATAAATAAATAAAAAATAAAAAATAAAAGAGAGAGAAAGGCACGACCGATGGGTGGTCATGGGGACAGTGTGTAAGGTGGATGGACATAAATAGAAAAATGGGTGGCTGAAATTTGGAGTAGATTTTTCGCAAATTGTGCAAAATAGTTTGGACCTTTCCCTATTAAAAAAAGTATTGAGGGGTATATTGAATAGCCCCTTTTATTTATCAAATTCTTTTTCTAAAACTTTTTTTTTTCTACATCATCATGATTTGATTCCCACACATATTTTGTCTGCTTCCAAAATAAAACACACATAACTTTTTTCCCAAAACCGAATAAAATTGTGCCCCAAACCTATTTCAATTTTTTTTTTTTATTGTATTTAGAGTTTTGAAAAGATGTAAAAGTAAAGCAAAATTCAATTCGATATATTTTTTTTATTATTTGTATATATTCTATGCTGGTGGACCTCCAGGAACTCATTTATATCCTTGTCTAGAATCATCTTCTAGTGACTATATAAAGGACAAAATGTATCAGTGGCTTTCTTGCATATATCAGGCAAAACCACTTCTTCATATCTTAATAGAGAAAAGCAAAAAAAAATGGGGCTAAGTGGTAAGCTGGTTTCCCAAATAGACATAAAATCCGATGGAGATGTATTCCACGAGATTTTCAGAGAAAGACCACACCACATATCTGACATGAGCCCCGCTCACATTCAAAACTGCGATCTACACGACGGTCAATGGGGAACCGTCGGCTCCGTCATCTACTTCAACTACACTCATGGTAAGTAACTAATTTCGATAATCTTTATGTTTCCATTAATGGAATCTTTAGAATGATTATAATGTTCAATAACCTCTATAAATTAATACAGTTAAAACTAGTAAAATTCTGTTTAATACGTTTTCACTGAGTCGGGATCAGCATAAATTATTATTTAATCGAGGTTCTTAATTTATGGAGGTTCTACTGTAAATAATACATTATTTCGAATCAGATGGTAAAGAGAGGGTGGCGAAAGAGATAATTGAGGCGATAGATGAGGAAAACAAGTCGGTCACATTCAAGGTGATTGAAGGGGATCTGATGGAGCTTTACAAGACGTTCAAACTGATTGTTCATGTTGACACATCTGGGGAAGACAACCTCGTCACTTGGACTTTGGAATACGAGAAACTGAACGAGGATGTTCCAGATCCGCACACTCTCATGGAGTTTTGCCTTAAGGTCACTAAGGATATCGAGTCTCACCATCTCACCGCCAGTGCTTAATTAATTAACATTAATGATGCTATGAATATATGTGTGTATGTATTGTGTTGAAGTTATGTACTTTGTGATGTTAATTTTATTGTTAACGGATGTTGGTGTCCCTATCTTGTGCAAAGGTTATGTACTTTGTGATGTGATCAATAAATGAGTCTTGCCATCATTCCAATAATTACATATATAATTGCGCATCGATGAGATATATCAAAAGAAAAAAAAAGCATAAAATTGCCTCGAACAAAGGGACACCGACCCTCCCATGTGGAGATCTTCAAGCCGCTTCGGCTCTGAGAACTTCCAGCAATTTCCACCACATGGTTAAATCTGGACCATAGTTTTGATATTATTAAGTTGGAGGCCCATGCGGTAGAACAAACTCCACAACAATATGATATTGCCCAATTTGGGTCAAGTCTAATTTGATTTTGGGTTTCCCTAAACGGTCTCATGCCGATAGAGTTGTTACCCACCCTCCTTATAAACTAGAGATCTTTGCAAGCTATTATACGAGAGTGTAGGTTTACCCAGTGCACCTATATGGTTGGCTGCGGGTTCCTGCATTACCAAAAAAAAAAAAAAAAAAAAAAATGTAGGACTATATTTGCACCTCATTCTACTTCTATTCCGTCAAGTTCAAGAAGCGATATTATCGTATATCTTCTTATATCGTACAAAACGAGATACATCGACAACAAAGAAAAAAAAAAAAAGTTAAATTGGTAAAAAGAAATAGTGGATTCATAGTGAATCTAATATGGATAAATACTTTAGTGAATTTCAATCAACTTCAGTATGATTGAATTTTAGTTAGACCCGGTGTTGATTGAATTAAATTGGATCCAATCCACAGTCGTTCCCTTCTTCATTTTGATATCATACCAATTATATGAACTTTCTCCAACTTGAACCTTTTTAACGGGATATTGAAAAAACAAGAAGCATCTTAATTTTTACGCAACATCTAAATATATTAACACCAAACGATGTATGTGCAATAATATTATAAATGGAAGAAATCTTTTTAGTTGCCTAGTCGCTACTTAAAAGATATTCTCAAACCAGTGGAATTGTTGACTTGTATAAACTCAACAATTTTTAATTACATAGTGGCTATTATTTATAACGATTATTTTAGAGATCTTTCATATGAATATGAAAATTATATATAACTAATCATCAAGCTAATTACATCTTGTTGCATATTTGTAGAGTGTAGCCCAAATATATTATTTGTGAATGGTTCATTCATCAACTCATCTTGCAACTCATTTACGAGCAACCCACAAAATTTGAGCCTAAAATTAAAGTCAGTCCAATCTCACTTAGGTTTTCCCTTTCTCTCTTTCTTCACCGTTTTCTATCTCGTTGTTTTTCGGCATGTTTTCAATCTGCCCCTTTTTTTCTCTCACCAAATCTTTCTTTTTATCTTCAACAAATCTTTGTGATTAGTTGGCTGATTCTTCGTGAGTTTGGTGAATGATTTGGGCGTATAAGTGCACCCTTTTCCCTTTCTGTGTGTGGGACGAAGAAAAAAAAGACGAGAAAAAAGCGAATGCTTTGTGTATTTTGAGAGAAAAAAATTAGAGTAAAAGAGAGATCCTTTTTTGAGAAGAAAAGCTCAATTATTTACGGTGAATTCGAGCTTACATCGTTAGGGATAAACCGGTGAGATTAGGGTTTGAATTTGGGTTTCGTTTTTTCTTTGTTTTTTTCGTTGGAACACATTGTGTGTGTATGCGAATGTGTGGCTGCTGTGAGTGTTTGGAGGCCCCACTTGGATCTTGGACGAGGACTAGGAGATTGATGGCTGAGCCGGAAGTTGATCCCTCGCCGGAGCAGCCGTCAGAGAGTTTTTTCTTCTGCAAATCTGTGTGATTGCTTCCGGTTCTTCAATTCTAACCCTACGCATTATTTTTCCTTTAATGTTCTGCAAATTGTTAGTCAAGATTAGTTCATTGATTCTTATGCCTATATTTAATAGCCGTTGAAAAATTATCTAATTTGTCCACATTAGTTGATATGTTTTATTAGGATCTCTAATTAGGTTGATCATTATAGTGTATTTTTATATTATTTTTTATTTTAATTGTCTCCAAATAAAATATGCGCATTATGGCCTTGTTTGTTATTTATTCTACGGGCAGATATACCCAACAGTGGTATCAAAGCTTTGCTAAGGGTTCGTCCGGAGCGACGTACGAAACCCTGGTCCAGGGTTTCCGCTCAGGTATAAATTTCTACTCTTAGTGAATCTTGGTGAATGTTTTATTTATTGCATCCACTAATATTTTGTGTGAATCTGTGTGATTCTGATATTTGAAAATTGGAATCTTTGTGATTCGATTTTGCTCTGAAATTGTGAATCTTTGTGATTCTACTATCTTTGTGATTTTTTGAAAAAAATTGAATCTTTGTGATTCAATTTTGCTAAAGAATATTGAATCTTTGTGATTTTTCTGTGTGTTGATCCTGCTGATATTTGATAATCTTTGTGATTTTTGCTATCTTTGTGATACTTGGAATATGGGATCTATGTCTATGTTATCTTTAGCTCCTTTCGATGGAGAGGGTGATTTTTCTATTTGGCAACAGAAAATGAAAGGCATTTGAATCCAACACAAATGTTTAAAGCAATTTCTCTTAGTGAGGAGGTTTTTATAACTGTTGCTTAACGTGAAGAACTTGATGACCTTGCTTATTCTGCTATTATCTTGAACCTTAGTGACTATGTGATTAGAAAAGTCGGAAATCATGATTCTGCTAGAGAAGTCTTTGGGACAAATTGGAAGAGGTTTATGTTAAAAATTATTTGCCCAATAAAATATATTTAATGGAAAAGTTTTTTGGACTTGAATTGGACTCAAGCAAAAATATTGATGCTAATAATGATGTTTTTACCAAGTTAGTTCAAGATATTAAAATAATTGGTGATAAGAACATTGATGATTATACCCCTGTTGTGCTCTTGAATGTTATTCCTGATGTTTATAATGATGTTAAGTCTGCTATTAAGTATGGTAGATATAAGGTTACATTAGATACTGTGATTAATGCTTTAAAAAGCAAAGAGCAATTGGGAATCAATGGGATAAATCATTTGGTGAGGTTAATTTTACTAGAGGAAGTCAGCCTAATCGCTTTCAAAACAACATGGCTTCTTCTAGCCAAAATGAACAAAGTAAGAAAATGGTGGAGATTGGAGTAAGTCGAAGGCTAATCCTAATAATAGAAGGTGTTTTAATTGTTGTGACCATAATCATTTTATTAATGGGTGTCCCAAGCCTAAGAAAAAACAAAATAGAAATCAAGCCAATTTGATATCCGATGGTGATGTCTTCTAATGTGTTATAATATTTGAATTACTTTGTGTTTTGCTTGTTATTTACATTACTTTGTGTTTTATTTTTTCAACTTGTACTAACTTTGTGTTTTCAGTGCAGGTAGTGTCATACGGCAATGATGACTTCGTTTCTCCAAGAAAGGTCCCGATGATCTATTTGGGCCAGGTGGATATTTGTACAGTGTGGCCCAAATATATTCTTTGTGCATGGCCCATTCACCAACCCATCTTGCGACCCACTTACCAGCAACCAACAAAATTTAAGCCCAAAATTAATGTCAGCCCAATCTCACTTAGGTTCCCTTTCTCTCTCGCTCTTCACCGTTTTCTATCTCGTTGTTTTTGGGCAGATGTTTTCAATCTGTCCCTTTTTTTCTCTCAACAAATCTTTCTTCTTATATGGGCGTATAAGCGCACCCTTTTTCCCTTTATGTGTGTGGAACGAAGAAAAAAGAGACGGGAAAAATGTGAATACTGTGTGTATTTTGAGAGAAAAAAATTAGAGTAAAAGAGACATTCTTTTTTGAGAAGAAAAGTGATAAGTGTTCATTTTGCATGATTTTCACTTATCAATTCTTCGAGTTTTGGTCTTCGTTCATCTGAGTTTTCGGCTTTATTTGTATATATTATGTTGTTTATTTATTTATTTATATCTTAGGTAAAGAGAAGCTATTTTTTCCGATTCGAAACGATTTTAGAAGCGAAGCCGAAAATCAAACCAAACACGTTCAAAAGTGCATTCTCGCGGATTGTGGCAGTGTTTGGTATTTCACGCATAACTTTTGCATAAGATCTCCGATTGAGCTGATTCAAATGGCCTTAGAAAGATAACTTCAAGATCTACAACTATTTTGAAATGAAAAATTGTCAAATTCGGGCTAAAAAAGGGTCAAAACAGTGATTGAAGTTGGCGCAAAAGCCCAGATCGCGATCCAGCCTTTCTGTGTCGCGATCTGGGGGGTCTTACAGAAGGCTTTCTTGATCAGGACCCAGATCGCGATCCAGCCTTCCTGGATCGTGATCTGGGGGGTCTTACAGAACATTTGTTGATCAAGAACCAGATCGCGATGCACCATTCTCGTATCGCGATCTGGAAAGGCGTTGCGCAGTTTCCAAGGCTGCCAGATCGCGATCCAAGAAGCCCAAATCGCGATCTGGGCACAAAATTCGAGACAATATATTTTTCTTTGATTTCTTACTATAAATAGAAGGTCTCTTCTTCATTTTGAGGAGATCAATAAAGATCTCGACCATATCATGACCTAGCTCTCGACCTTTTCTTCGGTTTTCTCTTCAGTTTTCGCCAGTTCTTCGCGGGAAGTATCGACGAGGGTTTCGACTCGGGTTTTTCATAAGCTTTTCTTTATGTTTAGTTTATGATTTCTCGTGTTGTTCATTTTTATGCTATGTTTGTAATGAACTGAGCGTTTTCTTTTAGGAAAATGAAACCTTGTATATATTGATTTTGATTTCCAGACCTGTGATCTATTTGTCGTTCTTTGATTCTGTTTATGTTTTCCTGTATTAAATGCTTTCGATTGTTTGGCCAGAAGTTGAATTGATTGTTAATGTGAATGAACTCGAGAGAGGATTTCTCGTTTGATTTTAGGAAAACATAGCTCGGGATTTTGGAAACGGAGACGTGATGCACCTCGGGTAGCCCTTAAGGACTTGACCTAAATGCTCTCTTAATATCAGGTTCTGAACGGAGACGTCGGACCTGTGGGTAGACTCTAACTACACCGGAGACAGGGGGGTTAGGGTATTTTAGTGTCTGGGTTAGCGAACATACAATTGACATTAGATTCGGTTTTGTAAATCTT